TGGTTGCACTGGACTCTCTCCAACTTGTCCACATCCTTTATATGGTTGGGGGGCCCAAAACTGAACACAGTACTCCAGACGTGGCCTCTCCAGTGCAGAATAGAGTGGAATAACTACCTTCCTCAATGAGGAATGTGGAAGTTTAATTGTACACAGTCATACAGCTAATGAAGAATAAGAAAAATGTCTGCTATAAGCTGATTACTCGTCAGGTAGAAGCAGTAGAGAGGCCAGTTCTGGTTGCCCCACATTAAAGAAAAATAAGCCTTGGTAAGAAAGGTAATTTTAATGGAGCAAAAACACAGGATGTGTCTGTAATGCAAAGTGTGATGTTGTGTTGCTGTGCCTAGGCTGCTTTCAGTACCAAAAATATCTCATTTTAAAACGATTTAATTCACTGCTACATTCACATTGCAAGGACTTTTAAACCAGAGGTTGGCAAACCATAACCCATTGGCCAGATGTGGCTGGGGCTTCAGCACAATTTTGTGAGGGGGTTTGCTGTATCACAGATAGCTGGATAGGCACGTTATGCATGCTATACCATGATGGTCGTCATCAAGTCCTGGTGTCAGCCCTCCTTGGACATAATCTGGATCATTGTGGCCTGCCCCTGGAAAACAGTGCTAACCCTTGTTCTACATGTGCCAATGCTCTACACATGCAAATGCTTCAGGATGGGTTTTACTTTATAGATGGGCAGGCATCTATATGTGTGGAGAAGCAGGAGTAGATTTGCTGCTCATGCCAGCAGTTTGTTCCCACCCCTGCTGCCCCTGCACCAGCCCCTTGCAGCAGCCAGCATGAGCTCTAGGCTCCCCCTTGGTACCAGCCTAGGGGCTGTCAGGGAGCATGGGGCCAGGAGACATCTGTCTTCTGGCAGGGGCTGGGAGATTGCTCCCTGCCCCCAGGAGCTGCCTACTGCCAGAGCAGGCTCTACCATCGTGGTCACAGACTGGGGGCTTAGAGATCCTTGCCGCCGGGGTAAGGAGGCATTGTCCTCACTTAGGCTCCAGTGGCAAAGCCCACCCTGGCAGCAGGCAGCTCCCAGGGGCAAGCAGCAATCTCTTGCACTCTGCTGCCCAGCTGACCAGAAACAAATTTTCTCCCAGTTGGATATCTACACGTGCCATACCGCATAGTAATTACTCCCAAGTAAATTTGTTACCTGTATTTACAGGTAGCAAATTTATTCGCAATTAGAGCAAATTACTGTGTAGTAAGCATCTGAATGTGTAGACAGGGACAACGCTTACTGTGCAGGAATTTGCTCTGATTTCAAGTTTTCATGTAGATGTGCCTGCTGTGTGGCATAGAGATATAGAATCCAGATTTAAATTAACAAATATGAGTAGTGTACCTGGATAACCAAAAGAATGTAGCCTATTTTTAGCTTAGCAAAATGAAGGATGAGCACCAAAACTACTTAAACTAAAGGATAATTTTGGCAAAAGAACAACTGGGTATTATCTGGCCATGAATACATTTATCCTGGACCTTAGAAGGTGGTTTTTAGCAATGACTTCAGTGACGGTTTTGGATTGTCTTCCAATAGAAGTCTAGGGGCAAGATACTCAAGCACTTTTAAAATAGAGCTTGATCAGTTTCTAGAAGTGATTATATGATGCTGTTGCCTGAAATACCAAGAATGAGACTCAATGGCTGATGTTTGGTTCTTTCCAGTTCTATTTTTCTATTTAATTTTGCCCTATCTTCCTATAATAAATATACAATATTGTGATAGTTAAAATTTAGATCAGTCTTGTGTCTCAGATTTTGAACAAACACAATTTTGTAAGTCAATTTTCTTCTGTTGAAATGTTTGTAAAGCCTGAATTAACTCTTATGTCTCCTCTCCTAAAAGCCATAATATCATAAAACGTCATTTTAAAGAGTATATTTCAACATTTAACTCTATCTCTCTAAAGAAACAGAGTAAAACATATTTCTCTGTGCTAAATGTACTTCTTAAAATTTATACAAAAAATACCTCATCTTTGCTGCTTTCATCTTGAACAATTTAGTCGGTTCCCTCATGTCCATTTTAATTAATCTCTTTCTAAACTCCACTCATACCCAGAATAAACTTAATAAGTTAGGATGCACTGGGAACTCACCAGTATAGCCTCATTTTATACCTATATGCTTCACAGAAGAAGCAAGAAAAATTTTGAAGAATAGGAATCTAGAATTGGATCAAATGGCAAGCTGATGTGAGATGTAATCAAGAAGGAATGATGAAGGAACTCTGTAGGAAGAAAGTTCAGTGTAAGCCTGTGTATGGTTTATACAGTATGTGTCTTTCAATGCAGTGTGTGAGCTGGTGTCTTTAAGAGGGGATTCAAAAGCCAGGTAATGGAAAGCAGATGAAGTACAATTAAATGGGTTTATTTCCTCTTGGCCAGTTGAGGAGTGTAATAAGAGTTTGTAGTCTGAGATTTACTGAAATGGAACCTGGAAGCTAGTGATGTGTGTATAATAAATTTTCAAATTTTCATCCATGTTCAAATTTTTGCCCTTCTAGCATTTCATTCAAAAACTAATATAAAAAATCCAATTAATAAAGCAATCCATCCTCCAGCAAACCATCTCCCAAGACACCCTCATCTTGGAGTCCTCTCTCTCCTGCCATTTCCCTAGACTTCCAGCTTCCTCCTTTAATGTGTTTTGGTGGTGTTACCTTTTGTGGTGGAAGGAAATGAAGTTTTTGCTTGCAGAAGATAACAATATTGTAGGTCTGAAATTCTTCATGTGACTCCACAAATATGATTCTTTTCATTTGTGTTCTCTCTGGAATTTCTTTGTATTGTGTCAATACAATTAGGAGGAGGTAGAAAATGCACCACACTAGTGTCTTAAAAAATTGTAGAGGCAATCCTGAATCCACATTTTACAGTCAGGATCATAGTATACTAGAACAAGACATTTTCAGCAAATAGAACCTTAGAGTTTAGCCAAATTTCCGAAGTAACTCTACCAGGAGCAATAACTTGTTAATTCTTATTAAGTATTATGGATTCTACAAGAAGTCTTTCAAAATATGAAATTGACCTGCCACTGACTGCAGTTTTCTTCTTGGCCCTTATACCCTGTCCTGTTCCGGAAAAGATCCTCGAAGAGAATATTGATTTATGTTTTCACGATTGGCACCAGTGTTGCATTTTAGCAGAAACAAACGCTGTGTCACAACTGATTAGGGCCAGAATGTACCAGCAGAGCCACGCTGTCCATTACTGATTTTTGTTGTTATAATGACATTAGTGAGTATTTGGTTTTGGCCACATTTTTTATATGGCTGAGTTATGCCATTCCCTGAAACATCCATAACTTAAGATCTAAGCATATGCACACATTTGACCTTGGTTTTTTTCAGCTAAAAATGGATAAAGGTAGTAAAATCTGTAGGAGTTGTGAGCAGTTTGTTGGAATTCCAGGTTCAGATATCTTTGATCAATTAACTTGCATTTTTCAGGACTCAAATATTTTAACAACTTTCTTCTTTACAGAAAACCAAACACATGTATTATTTGAGATTTTTGTAGATGAGACTTGTTTATATTTTAACTATATCAAGGGGTTATAATATTTTTTTTTTTTAGTCAAAGAAAAGCACATGGTTATGCTAACAGTGAAAGGAGGGTTACCAAATTTGATACCTTTAAATCACTGGATCTAATGTTACATAAATAAATGTTCTATTGCTTGTCCTAGCAGCAGTCATTTGTGGAATAACTAAAATGACTGCCAACGTATTCACAAATTACTTTCATACCAGAGGCATAGCAAGCTCCTTTTGGTGCCCGGGACAGGAGGTGGGGGTACTGCAGGGGTGATGGGGCCAGAGACATAGTTGGTACGGTTTGTGCCCTGAGAAACTACAGGCCAACTAGTGTGAAAGACCCAGGGGGTGAAACCAGGATGGTTCTGAGGCTCCTGCAGCTAAGAAAAAAAGGCGTCCCTTTTCTAAGAAGTTAAGCCTCTCACTGCTAAATGCCATGCTGAACAAATAATTAAAGTCCCTAATTTAGCAGGGGGACACCCTTCTCCTCCATCTTCATTCCCTGCTCTTTTTTCCTTCATCATTTAACTGCCTTGACCTGCAAAGCCTCCCTGTATTATTGCCTGGATCCTGGTCCCACTCCATGCAGTGAAGCCTGTAGCTGTCAGAATACCAGCATTGTTGTATCTATTCCAGCACCCTGCAGCCTCTGTCCCAGGACCCTTGCCCTTAATCAGCACCTGAGGGTAGTCCCCCACTTACCTACCCCCAGTTACACTACTGCCTCACACAGATTGCCCCTAAAAGAAAATGGTGGAGGCAACAAAAGTTCACATTAGTAGCTATGTTGCTGCTCATTAATTCATGTTTTGGTCTGCTCAGGCCTGCCACAGATGCTATCTGTAAACTGTCTGCAGCCCTGGTTAAAGAATGTGGTTGGTCCAGGGACTTGAAAGGGAAAAATGATTGTGTGGGGGGGAGAAATAAGTTGCTTGTTCTTTTAAAGTGGTCTTTTCATGCAGACTATAGATAAGGTGTAATATTTTTTAGTGTACCTAAGGCTGAGAGTCACAAACCTTAAGAGTGTTGAGTATATATTACAGAAAGCAACCACTGGGCTGCAGAGTGTCACATGGAAATTATTCATTTTACTGGTTCTGTGAGCATCACAAACCACTGGAGCTATGGTCCCCTGATTTATGATGTCACTAAAGTCCCTCAAGAGAATTACTTTCCTGAAAACCACCATAGATCATTTGTTATTCTACAGAATGTGTGTTATACGTATCACATTTGGCAAGAAAGCTCTTATGTTTTAAATGTGTTAAGGCGGATGGTGAGATTAATTCTTTAGCAGCTGAATTATTGATTTCTTTTAAATACAGTTTGTATATTATTTATATACAGCTTTATGTACTGTATCCAGAACACAGCACTCCCTTTCCTGGCCTGAGCTGTATCTTTCACTGATATCCAATTACTTTCTATTTTTGCCTCTTAGGATTTGATACCAGCATTTTGCCAATTTGCAAGGACTCCCTTGGCTGGATGTTTAACAGGCTGGATACGAACTATGACCTGCTGTTGGACCAGTCAGAGCTTGGAAGCATTTACCTTGACAAGAATGAACAGTGCACCAAGGCATTCTTCAATTCTTGTGACACATACAAGGACAGCTTGATATCTAACAATGAGTGGTGCTACTGCTTCCAGAGACAGCAAGGTAAAAGATGAGAATAACCTGCAGATGCAGATGACTGACCTGATTGTAGTGTTTTATCATTTTTGCACATGTTAAAAAGGTTATAGTGAACTACAAGTTCTTAAGTGCTTATCTTAGGAATTTGTCTTAAGGTTTTGAACTACTGTGAATACACAGTGAAAAGAAAGTAAAAAACAAGCTGCACTGAAAATGTTGCCATACATCAAAGACATGCTAAATAAAATGTCAAATAGCAATTAATGCTTTTATAGCAGCATTGCTTCTCCAGCCAACCTCCAGCAGACACTTAGAGAAAAGAGGGAACCAAAATGAAAGAACAAAATTATCAGCATTAATCCTCCCTCTATCTGTTTTGCTCACATTATAAAATAAACATTTTTATTGCTCTGCTGTGGCATTTTAATGTTCTGTTTTGTGAGCCTATTAAAATAACTGAATCAACTGCAACATCCTGCAAAATGTTATTTTCATTCATTTGACCCTATAGCTATTGATTTTTAGGACCTAGCTGAAACCTTTTGTTGAGTTCTTGAAATTATTTAGAAAAAAACAAGTTAATAATATCTATAGGCAGTTCATTTCTGAACTATCCACTAATGAAAATTAAATCAACAATAAACAACACTTTTATAGCTATGTAATATATTCCGTAAGTTATTAAATCAAATTAATTTTAATAAGGTTTTTAAAAAATCCTCATCATTATCTACTGGCTGAGGCTGGACAGAAATTTATATATTTATATTCAGCTTCTTATTCAGCAGATGATTTAGAGGAAAAAAAGATCAGGTCTCCAACTCCCACTGGTTGTGTCTACACATCGCTGTAACAAAAACCTTGGTGACATAACTCATTGCTATGAAGACGTAGCATTGGCAGGCACAAAGTGTAATGCCAACACTACTGCGCAGTAGCATTGGAAATGACCCATGCATGAAAAGTCATTTAGTGTTTGCTTAAGCAATTACTAAATGATTATGGAGTAACAACTGCACAGTCCAGCACACATGTAAATGCACCCACTGAGTGGCTGTGTCTATACAAGACACTTTACTATGCTGTAGACTAACCTAACCATCTACACATGCAGGCACTTAGTATGCAGTAAATTAATCTACTGTGCAGTAAATTTACTACCCGCATATGGAGTAATGTTACCGCCCAGTAAAGCCAAATAGCATTAATTGCACATGAAACGCACCCGGTTAATCTGTAAGAATTGAGGATTAAATTGGCCCTTGGTACCAGCTTAGAAAACTAAGGTAAGTCTGTTTTGTGTCCCTGATGCTCCCCTGGAAGTCTACTTTCGAACACTCCCTGCCCATCCACTATCACTTACATACGCCAAATCCAGTAATGTAATGATGTAGCAGTTTTGGGAGTTTCTGCTACAGCTGTTCTCAGCATCTCTGTTGGGATGCCCCTAAAGCATCTTGACAGCCACATTTCTAATTTTAGAACATGCAAGCAGAGGCAGTAAGTAGGCAAGATATGTTCAAAACTTACCTTCCCAAGGAGCTCTGAGGATGCAGTATCAATGTATCTTAATCTTATCAGTGTCTCTCTCAAACCCTCACATTTGAATTTAAAAAGCCCCAGTTCTTTTTACATGATTGAGCTAACTGTCCTCTTGTTTGCTTAAAATCTACTGTCAGATATCAACTCATTAATAACTACCCAGCATAAAAATCAAGTTTTCATCTTTCAAGAAATCTTATTTACTTTGAAATAGGACTGTCTTTTCAGTTGCAATTTTAGAAGTATCCTGCTGCTAAAACCACTGGCCATGCCTACACATGCGCTTAACTGCAGAGTACAATAATTAGCTGCAGAGTAAAGCATCACCATCTACACGTGCAATGGTATTAAGCTTCAGTAAGCTAATTAATGCTGCCATAAGATAGTACTGTCGGGTACAGTACTATCATACAGCAGGGTAATTAATTGCAGTTAAATACATGTGTAGATGCTGACCATGGGCATAAATTGCAACCAGTCAGCCAGCCAGCAGGGTGTCAGACTCCTGCCTGCTGCCTAGACACAGCTACACACTTGCAGTACTCCACTCGTACCCCAGCCAGCCCCTCTGCAACCTGATGCTGACACCTGGAGTCCAGGACTGACCCCCCGTTCCTCCTTGGCCATGGTGTAAACTGCTCTGCCCCAACTCAAAGTGCTGCTGTCCCAGCCACACATGAATACCATGCCCAGGAGTAGTTTACTCCTGCTCAAACTGCTCTGGAATTTGTTGCTTCAAATGAATTGCACATGTAGATAGAAGCATACGGCTGGAAGGGACCCCAAAGGATCATCAGGTCCAGTCCTCTGCATGAGCAGGAAAGACAGCTGGGGTCAGACAACCTCAGACGCACCCACTAAGTGCCAAATTTGTGTTTATTTTTAACGTAAACATAATCTCCATAAAAGAATGAAGAGTTTCTCAGACGAGACCATCATTCTACCAGATAATGTGACGGGCTTTCTTTCCCAATTATTTGGAAAGGTGCAGCCATGCTGCAGCACATAAGATGAATCTTACCATTGGTTAGGAGTCATTGTGGGCTAGTGTTGTTGCCAGTTTCATACAGTGTATGTATAGTGTACAGTTTATATTTCACCTGGGATATGCAAATAGCACTTCCCTAGATTAGTTTCAATACATTTTTCCCCCAGATAAAGCTGAATCTTTAAAATATATGCGTAGGAAACATTTACTCAGGAATCACCCAGGAAATGATCAAATGTCACTTAGTCATACAGATAAAAACATTAACAATTTAGATAAGTCTACCAGCTCCCTTCCTCACCACAGAATCCAACCATTACAACATTATTTTCTCCCCTGCTGGTTTTTCCATACTGTTCCTTGCTTATGATACCTTCAAAAGGTCCTGATTTAAAAGAAATTAGGTTGCTAGTGATACCCACAGTTTTGCTTTCTCTGTAGTGAAGTTTTCTTCAAAACACTTAACAAAATGAAATTGTAGTTCCAGCAAATATTTCAACAGTAAAACACTTCCAAGCACTCCCACCCTCTATGAACATTAAATCTGATGGCAACACTTATCTTCTGTTCACATTCCCTAAGTACAGTATGAGATGAGAGTTGTCACCTATCTACTATTAGTCATTTAACCATTATATTATTCACAAGTCTTCTCTTCCCATAGTATGAACAAGTCACAGAAACATCAGTAATTTTTTATTTTTATGAAAATTTGGTTATTTATTTGTGTTCCTTTATGTATTATTGGATTGCACAATCTAAATATATAACTCTCTTAAATGAGATATTTATAGTGATAGTATTACTAGCTAGAGAAGACTTGTTTGCCTCCCTATAATATTCATAAAGTATGCTTGCATTAATAAAAAGCTTGTATGTACATAGCCAGCACTTTATTCATGATTCTGTTGATGTTTTCTGGGAAGTTTTACTACTCTCAAGTATCATATACAGATGTTGATAACTGCTATCAATAGTTGTATTGGCTGTGTTCAAAGTAAATACAAGAATGCAAGCCAGATAACATACCATGAGCCTATACATTTTTAAAGATAAATAATTGTACCTAAACCTACTATCAGACCAAGATCCTCCTTCTTTGTCTTGGTCTCTTAAGGCAAGACTGGAAGTATTCTTCAAGTTCTGAGAGCATCTTTTATCTTTAAAGGGAGTGGTAATGAAGAGTAGGTGTAACTGGCCCCTCTGTTGGTCACTGCACATCATCCCTCCCTAATTATAAGTTCTGCCTTCTAAAATAGTCCAGTCATTTCCTTCTTCAGCAAGAAAGGAACTCTGCAGTAGTTGCTCCTTACTAACATGTCCCAACTCTTCTCAAGATCTCAGTATTTGAAAGATTTTTCCTCAGTCTCTGTGCTGTTTCCAGTCCATTTGATTTAGTATTTCTGAAATACTTGTCCGAGACTCTTCAATGGATTTCTGTGGTACTTCAGTTCCCAAATTTGATCAACATTTTCTTTTTTGTCTCTGTTCTTTGGCCTCTGTTTCCCTCCATGTGCAGGCAACATTTTATGTAAATGTGTTTATCTAAGTGCCTGCTTTAAGCAGTAAAGCACTCCATTTCTACCATAATGTTACAGTTCTCACCTGAATGCTGAGGCACTACTAGTCTTTTCATTTCGGCAGATTAGATTGTTTTAATTTTCTGGGGCTAAGGGATCATTGCAGAAGAGGTACTAGCACTAGATTGCCAGGAGCAAGGTGCTATCTTTCCAAACTATGTAAGAAGCAACACCATCTATTGCTGCTTACCACAGCCGATACTGCCCTTGATGCCTCGCTGCCCTCTCTTGTTTTTCAGGTTTTAATATCGAACAAGGATTCAAGTATCTTCAGTAGCTTCAAATTTAGCCTATTGAACAGAAGTGACAAAAGCCTAAGATTTGTACTTGCTATGTCATCTTCCTGAGATGCATTTGCTTAGACACAGTTATAGCTGGTGCTGAAGAAGTGTATTATACACTACAAGCTGTCACTGAAATAGCTGAGGAGACTGCTTTAAGTCTCACATGATGCTGATCCAGAGTGCATCACATGGTCAACCTGTGAAGTTGACATATTGGTTCGACAAGAACATGAAGAAATAAATTTCCCTGCCACTGCTGCCCACACTTACACTGCCCCAGGCCCCCCAAAAGTACAAAAGGGTGGCCTAACCAACAAAACATCCTGGGCTTGCAACACAGAAGCTGAGGGCTCTGTGAGCATCATCTACCTGATACTACACATGAAGTCACTGATAATATTGTCTTGGTCATTGGGTAAAGTGGATAATCTATATCCATCCACAGCAGGAAATGAACCAGCAGTTCCTTGATGTATTTCTATTGAAGATCACCAAATTTCCCCCTCCCCTCTACCCTCTCAGCATCTGGCAGCAGAGAGGGTCAGGGAACTAAAAAATAAAAAATCCTAGTCTTCTGTGTGGCTCCCTTGAAGTCCCAAATACAAGCTTCGAGTCATCCTTCTCTCTCTT